AGGCTACGCTTTTTAAATAAAAGTGTCTGTGATAAAAATTACATTTTGATAAAAAGTGTCAGTCGGATTTTGCGATGGCGTGGACCCATGGACTCGACACCTATGGTCAGAGGCAGTTACATGAACTGGTGTTTCCTGTAGAGCTGCTCTCGATTAGGGCGAATATTATTCTGGTCAATATTGAGATCACAGTTATTTAATAGAATTACTCACTGACTGTGGAAATATCATGTATTTATTGAACTTTTTAAAAAAACTTGTCTTTTTAACGGTGGATTTCCTCGAACTCAACCTTGAAAATTAATTCAGCTGAGAAACAAATACCAAGGGGCTGGAAGATGGTCCGTCAGGTTTAAAACACAAGACGAAACGGGAGCTTCACTGTGAAACAATAACATTTCATCCTGATTATTTTGTTTTCATAATTGTTGGAGGCCAAAATAACTGAAATTAAAATTGGATTAACTGCCCAGCCCTAATTTTCTGTATTGTGTGTCTTCTCTGTGATGGACTGGTGGCCCATCCAGGGTCTACACCCAACTCCCGTGATGCATTCCAGGGGTTACCACGCACTGGATAAGCAACTAGAACAACACCCACCCATGGACTGACAAACCAGTGATACGCTAATACACACCAGATCTGCTGGCTGAGCTGTTAATGACTGCTACAGATTCAAGTCCACCTTGTCACCCTGATGAAGTTCTCACCTCATCCCACATCAAATGGATTATTTCACTCTTGATCTTGAGGACACTAAGCCAGTCAATTACTACTGTATCATGATCGCTCCTACAAGGGTCTCATAATGAATCTCCAAAGGCATTTTATTGATTGATATTAATTCCAAGTATTGCAGAAACACCCACAAGAACACAAGTGCCTAATTTCTACGTGTCTTACGTCCTGTTCTAACATGACAGAGACGGTGTTGGTACATTGCTAGGTACCTCAGTGATCCCGCAGAGATAAATCGCAGGTAGAAAGACGGTGGATGTGCAGCAGCTGGCGTGCCGTGCCACTCGCACGGATTGCTAATTGCGTCTTAGTCATGCGCAATACGCAAAGCGATGAATGCGCCTCGCGAGCACCGCTACGGTCTTAGTTAAAACCCAAATGTGGATGCGACCGCATGTTCGTGGCTAATTAGCGGGATCGACGCGGACGAACGCCTTCCCCAACAGGGGCGGTGTCGGGTACATGCAGGATATGATTGAGTCGCTGCCCCCATCCCCCTTACAAGCATAAAGCAGACACATGACAAATGTTAACGTGATCTGTCTTTGTGCTGAATTTACGGCGATCCTATGATCCCAAGCTAATTAATCGACAACTGTCGCAACAGTGATGAAAACCTGCTTCTGAGCAATGCATGTCAACACTACGACTGATCTATGATTTAAAAACTCATAAATTCATTCTTTAGAATAACGGCAAAACACTCATTGTAGCAATCGAAAAATGAAAATGTAGTAAAAAAAAAAAAGCTCTCCAAATCCAGCTAATATGACAAAGTTCATACACTCGTCCATATCTGCCCTATCAGTCTATAATTAATATGCTGGTTTGCATTAAATTACATTAGTTGGGGTAGATTACATTAGGCCTAGTACACCGAACACAGTAAAGTGACGCTTCCTTAAGATTGAATAATCACGACACGTGTCTGTCAAATATTATGTATTAACTAAATCATGCATACTATATTAAAGGCGCGCAAATTAATGCAACACAAAAGTCAGGCAATAAGCATTAAGATGTGGGTAATAGATTTGCGCTAAATGGTTACGGGCAGCACCAATGGGATGTCACTACAAGAGCGGAGGTAATGTAAAATAAACAGATGTTACTTAATCCCACATATCTACGGCTATAGGCCTACACCATGCATTAATGGTGTCATTCCTGAAAGACTGCAGTCTTAATAGTGAAACGTATTTACCAGTGTGTTGGTGCTGAATACCACCTATGTCAAGTGCCAGTACATCGCCCTTAACCTCCATTGCACGCCAAAAGCTCCCAGCTCAGTCAATGTGGGGCCCCGTGTCGCCGATCCGTGATTTAATGCATTTCGGCGTGCCATGCAATAGGAAAACACCCCCTGAAAGTTCTCTTTTTTCCGTTGTGGGAGGGGCCGGGGTGTGTGGAGAGTGGGATCATTAGCAAGCCGTGCGGCGGTGAGATGTCGCTCTTATATCTAATGAAACGGATTCGTGGGGCTATATAAGTTGGCCGTGATGACAACTTCTCATTGGACGGAGCGGACCTCGTAACGACGCCCGCTGGGCTCAATACAACTTGTGCTTGAAGGTAAGTTTAATGACAAGGTTTTAATTTAATACCTGTGACTCTGCCGTACAATCAGGCTAATGTCGTTTAATCTAATGGCAAGTAGAACATCCATTAAATGTAGGCTAGCTATAATATCTGGCTGTTAGAAATTGGCCAGTGAATATTAAAAGTACTTCAAGAGAGATTTATATCTGCTTTCCGTTTTAGAAGAAAATAGAATGGAAATTGAGATTTGAGGAGTTTCACAACTTACGCATGTGCTTTTGAATGTGTGGAGTGCAATGAAGCGGAATACAAATTGTGTTCGTTTAAAAAAGTATTCCAGCTCTCGATGGGTAGGCTATATGGTTTAAATTAGCTTATATACACTTTTGCACGCGTTGTCATTTTGGTGCTGAGTATGTGCTAGTGTAACACACCTTTATATAGTAAATGAATCTCTTACAAATAAATCTCTTAATAAATTAATACACTATACTGGCAGCGTGTATTAAAACGTTTTGGGAAATGATTTCCTCATTGGCGCAGATTTGGGTATGGACGATAGGTTCTGTCCATACCAATATTGTGGGAGAACCGTGTGTGTTTGGGGGGGCTGATTAGGTCCTACGCCCTTGGATTTCCTCAAACACGCTATGGTGTCTGTTGGTAAAGCAGAAATAAAAAGTGATTCTGAAATGCACCTCTGTAAATGCATTTGTATTAGCGACGAATAAATCTAGATTTCTGCAATCAAAGCCTAGCATGCAATGTAATATGCCGGTAAATCTTACAGTGACCTTGCTCTTCCTGGCGATGCTGGCAGCCGAGGCTGCGTGTCCCGCGCAGCAGTGCCTGTCCAAGTGCACCCGTCTGAGGGTGACGGCCGTTTACACGGCACTGCTCCTCCTGTCCGCCAGCATGGTCTCCGCACACAGCACGACGCTCAAGCACGACCTCCACATCGGCCACAGCGTGGACAACAGAAGTAAGTTCGGTCCCCGCGTTATGAAAGAAAACGGCGCCAATCGTGTTGTATTTTCCCCCCACGGTGACCATAGGGACCATTTCACAATCAAAATGGTCTATAATAATATCCGAAGGTGAGACTAAAAAATGTTGAAAATTTTAATAGGATTTTAGTTCGGTCAAATGGCCTGTTCTTTACAATAAAGCTGTGATGCCAACAATCAGAAGCGCTAAGGCAGAAAATCGTGTCTTGCGTGTATTCTATGTTGGATTTATTTAAAAAACATATTTCATCCTGGCTCATGTTGGCTCAACCGTAATTTACGGCCCTGGGAAGGTTCACTTCTGGTGTATAGGAAAGGAAATTCAAAAAAAGGCCACCTATCGCTTTTTCCATTAAGAAATGCGTTAGTGACGATTTTAAATCGTAACGCCGTTAAAAACAAATAACGAGGAAAATAAAACTTTCGTATTTGCAATACCAATAAGGAGCCCTTTTACGGTACTAGGTTAATCTATTATCTACAAAAAGAAGAGGCTTTTTAGCGTGGTCTGTTAATAAAACACCTTACGGTTTATGTCTGTCTCCATCCAACATAGGCTATCTGAGTAGATTTCAGTAGAAATTCACAAAGTGCGCATTCAACGTGTCGACTGGGCTACTTCAAATGTATTATTATTATTATTATTTTTAATGCAATAATTAAAAAGGTCCAGAGATCGACCCCTTCTGGTACGTCGGCCGAGGCGTGAGACCCATCGGGAGGTTTGGGAAGAGGCAGAGCGCCAGCGGGGGCTTGAGACCCCTGGTTAACAGCCTGGCGCTGCTTCTCGGCGGCTTGAGGGCCAAAGACCTGCAGAAGCTCCCCGACGCGCTGATCGGCGAGGACGCCCACTGGCTGCCATGACGACGGGCCGTCAGCTGTCACGCGGATCATCCCCCATTTCAGTTGCATAGCCCCATGGATGATTCCTTATACGACAAAGACTCGCACTAAGTGTTTTAAATTTTAAAAATGCACATCTGAACTGGGTGTAACATACGAGTATTTCCATATACGATAATAAAGATTAATTCTTTGCACAATTTTGACAGTTGGAAATTGATATTTAATTTCACTGTTATTCTATCATATTTGAGTAAATAATGAAATGCTGTACTTAACTTCAGGATACTAAAATGACGAACAGTTAGTTCATTGTGAATTAATTAAATGTTCTGACCGTTTGGTGATGAAGTCTCGAGAGCGGAAATTACGATGAAAATCAAATCTATCGCATTTGACGATCGATAGGAGTCTCCCGATTATCCCGACGATCGGAGTCTCAGCCGCGTTGGTTGCATAAATGAATCCCCGTCCGTTCTTAGCAGCTTTTGTCCAAGCTGCTGTCTGGTGTTGGTTTGCTTATAGAGTGACAAAAGGCACCGCAATTTTATTTCAACCTATTGCCAGAATAGACGGATTATGTCATTGGGCCAATTTACTTTTAATTGGAACATAATTCGCTTCCTAGCCCATTCATCACATAATTTATAAAGTATTTGTTTCACCTGATTTCAGATGTTAACAGCATAAGGGGGTGGTCTACTAAAATACGAATCCGTTGATTCTTTGTACTATGTTCTGACTACAGTGTATGTGATTATTAAAATTCATATTTTTCAGCTTATCATCAGTGTGGTGGATTCTTGCTCTTCACCGCCGTAATTGTTTCAATTACTATTAATAAAAATCATTCAGCCACTGTACGGTATGTAACGTTTTTATTAATGTACAATAACACTTTTCGATCAGAACAATTTGGCACACAGTTTGAGGACAATGTCAAACACCACTTTATTCATTTTATGCTATTATTTGGCTTTTTTCGTATTCTTCTCGTACATTACCTGTTCAGACGGCTGAGCATACGGATACAGACCGAAAAAAGCGGTGTGCGTTGCACATTTCACCGCGATCATTCCGTTTCAACAACAGCAACTTTTCACATACTGCACGCAAGGACGACGTCATGATTTAATATGTATACAATTCCCCAATGCCCGACTCCAAGCTCATTTACAGTGTTATTTTAAATAGAAAAATACAGGACAATCAAATTATAATCAACCTGTTAGCTGTGATTCGCGTATGATTTTGTACGTTATTTCGAACATGCTTCACATAAAACGCCCCAGTCGATATGATCCGCATGATATGAACAGCGATGGGAAATGTGAGGATACGTAAGAAATGGAAACAGTATGGGGTAGCTTGAGGCCAGTAATCGACAAACAATGTCAAGTATAGTCCATAGGCAACCCACACCGGGAACCTGTTCAAAGCATATTCATAATGTATCAGCTGGTTTCTACAGAAAAGATCAGAAGATTTGGAGAATTTCATCAACTTGAAGCTAACAACAGCTTTTTTTCGGCGGGGGAGAAAAACTAAAAATGGTATCACCCAAATCAGCTTATTGGTAAGTATGAGTAAAATCAAATCACAATGTTTGACTACGGCTTCCTACTTCAAAATACCAGCTAAAAAATAGTGCTAATGATTATAAACGGCCTAATAGTATATATACTATGTGCTTTAGAACAACTAGCAGGCAGAGAAATCCACTGAATAAGAGGATCCACTGTAGAAGAAATAAAAGAAGCTTACGAGAGTCAGTTCTCTGTAATCTCTAGTATTCCAACGATCACCCCAAATAGTACAAAAATACATTACTTAAAAAGTGGTGTAACCCATCAGGACTGAGTAACCGTTACTAGAAAACGCCTACTGGTTTAACTACACTGGGCAAAGAAAGAAGAACTGTAGCCTGAAAGGGAAAAAAAACGTGACTAAAGACGATGCAAAATATACAGAAAGATGAGTTGGGCTGCAATGAATGAGACAAAGGTCACTTTAATGGAGTAACGTGACTAAAGGTGGAAGTCGATTTGAGCTTGGTACCTCCTGTTGGAACATCTACTCCTCTAAGCGTCACTTTTTTGCAACTTTGAAAATAAAGAGCGCCCGTCCTCCGATTTCCACAAGATGGACAGAGCTGTACCAGATGGCGTGGGGGGAAAAAGACATCAACAGACAGGTCACTGTAATCCTTACAGTACCTATATTACACACATGCAACGCGGTGCGAAAGGGTTACGAAGACAATGTTTAGAATGCTACTTATCTGGGTAGTAAATGCATGTTTGCTCAAAACGAGCACAATTTAACAGACAAGAGGAAAAAGAACAGTAGCAGCCCAATAAAAACTAAAAAATGTTCTGACCTCCAAAATTACTTATACCTTCCAAGATGCCTAGATGAACAGCACTTCAGTTCCCAAACCTCTCCTCAGGGGCACCCCAGCCATTCCATGTATCTGACACATTTCACCACCAGCTCACTTAACTTATTAACTTGAATACCTTAACGAGATATTGCTCAGCCATTGATTAAACATGGTATGCTAGCCAAACAATTACATGGGTGTACTGGATGGTTACAGCAAACACGGTGATGAGGGTATACAAGCAGGGACACTGCTAAAGATTTTGGGTCCCATGAAAGCATATCGTATGGGCTCCCCAACCAATCCAATTGTGTTTCAGATTTTAAGCATCTGAATCAACCCCCACCCCCAGCTTCCCTATAACAGAGGTTTTGAAATGGCCAATACACTGAGAGAATAAATTATAGTTCTACACCAATATGAAAATCATTTAAGCATTTCTCTTTGACTACTTCAGGCTTTTCCACAGTACTGTATATATACAGACATCATATATTCATTATAATATACGAGTGGATCTTAGAGGTTCCTGTTCATGGTGGGTGATTAAGGTTGAGGTAAAAATATGCCCCACATTCATGGAAATAACGCCAATGCCTCTGACCGGAGGAGCTGCTACAAATCTGTCTGAAGCTGAGGGCCGCAGCATCAATGTCTGGTGACCAACAGTATGGAGGTCTGGCTAATCGGAGCAGCACTACATTAAAGCACTCCAGCAAGCGGCAGGCGAGTTCCCACAATGCACTGCTCCTTAATGAGGTCGCGAGGCATCTCGCATGTGCGTAAATACAGGAGTTCAGCAAGCGAATCATACGATGACAAAAACCTATTTAATAGAAAAAGGGCAACGGAAAAAAAGACACCAAAAAACTCAAAGCTGGGTAGAAAATAAAGAAAGTCTTTTTTTTTTTTTACTACAGCCGTTGTAGGAAAATAAACCGCACTCTGAAAGTTTCAGGATGGATTTTGGACCACACACCTATAGACCGCGCAAATACCTTTCTGTGAATGATTTAAATGTGACACGTCCGCATGGTGTCACAACTATGACAGACTAAAAAAATATTAATGTGCCGGAGGTGCTGAGGTAAGCAGACGAAACATCCAGGCTAGAGGCGAGAAGGAGAACGACAACCGCGCTAAGCAAACCGAAACAGAGACGCTTGGTCTAAGTCAGAAAATCAGATTTGTGAACCACAGCGTAAACAAATTCAAACGAAACGGAGGGACGCAACATAAAATAATATAAACACCGCAAGGGAAAAAAAATCAATAACTGAAATTGCCAAGACTGAGTAAAATCATTATGGAGCGAAAGCACCTGGAAGTGGGTGTGGCCTGAGGAGGACGCGCGCGCGCCTGCAGCAGGTAAACTGTGTAATGGAGTCGAATGGATGAAAAACCAAAATTACGGATACAATCTTGCTTTAGGGAAAATAATGAGAGGAGAATGGTGTTTTCTAACAAGCTACCCCAGTGGGATTCAAGGGACAGCTCTCTGGAGTCTTTCTGGGAGTATTTTTGAAACAAAACACAAAACCCAGAAAAAAAAAACACTTCTTTTCAACACCTTCCAAACTTGAGTGTATGTCTGAAAAATATATTATGTTATGCCACTTTCACGTGCATTAGATTTATTAATACATTACACAACATATACGATCAAGCAAGCGAGTAAAATTGGAGCTACAATTTTCAACGTGTTTCTATGTAGGTCGATGTATTTTCGTCACCTTATGTCATATTCTTAATTCCCACTGTAAGGAAGTTCATTGCCAGAGAGTCAGTATGGGTGTGCAATGAAGTATTTTTTCATTTTTGTGCAGCTCATCTCGGCCTGTATAAAAATATATTTTCCCGTAGATTTGGAATACATGTATGTTTGAGAACGCACAGCTCTTCCCGTACAGGAGGTCCGTCCGAGGAGTGTTGGTGGAGCAGCACTTGGACACATGCTCTGTCAAGGCACTGGGATGAAGAACTCCCCCAATGGTGGAGCCGGCGTCACTAAAGCCACGGAGCTCGGGAGCGTAACTCTGGGAAACCGCTTTGATCTGAAAGGTGGAACACAGGTACACACAGGGTGAAACACAGGTAATGAAATTTTGGAACACAGGTAAAGATAAAGTGAAACACAGGTACAGACATGGTAAAACACAGGTAAATACATGGTGAATCACAGGTACAGACATGGTAAAACAGGTAAAGAAATGCTGGAACAGGTACAAATATGGTGAAACACAGGTAAAGAAAGTGAAACACAGATACAGACATGGTAATACACAGGATAAGAAGTGGTGAAACAGATATGAACATGGTATAATACAGGTAAAAACATGGTGAAGCACAGGTAAAGAAATGGTGGAACAGGTACAAATATGGTGAAACACAGGTAAAGAAAGTGAAACACAGATACAGACATGGTAATACACAGGATAAGAAGTGGTGGAACAGATATGAACATGGTATAATACAGGTAAAAATAAGGTGAAGCACAGGTAAAGAAATGGTGGAACAGGTACAAATATGGTGAAACACAGGTA